TGCGGGAATGAGCGGATTATTGCAGGCTCGGCGGCGCAGGCAAGCCTTAGAGCATGATCGCGAAAATCTACGACAAACGCTAGAAAATACGAATTCGCTACTGGCTGCGTCCGAAAACGAAAAGAAAACGAAGCAGGAGCAGATCGAATCACTGCGCGACGAACTGAACCGCCAGGATGAAACTATTGCCAAGTCGAACAAAGACAAAAAGCAGCAAGAGGAGTTGTGTCGGAAGTTGGCGGACGATTTGCAAGTACTTGTTAGGCCGACTTCAAAATGGTTTTTTTAAGGCTTCGCTCTGAATTTCGTTGAGTCCGAAAACTTGTTCTCTTTTGGTTTTTTCCTGAAGCGAGGTTTTAAACGGTTAAATTTTTTTCACGATTTTAGGCGCAGGAAGACCGCAAAACAAAGGGAAGCCGAACAAAAATGAAAATTGAATATGCAATCGACGAAATCGAAAATAGGATTGAAAGTGAGCGCCGAAGCCACAGGGAAAAGGAAAAGCAAAGGAAGAAGATTGACGGAGAGCTAAGGGCGACCGAAGAAAAAAACGAAGATTTAAAGAGCAGAAAATGTGACCTGGAGGAAAGATTGAAACAAAAAGAAGCTTACTTGCGTAATTTAGGCTCGTTTTTATGCGTTTTTGCATCACTAATGAAACGCTAAAACACACGTTGTCGAGAGGTTGCCGCTATCTTATGTTTATGCGTATTTTCTATTTGTGGACCAACTTTTCCGTAATTTCAATGCAGCAAACAGAAATGTTGGGGAAATGAGATTCTAAGAAGTTTCAAACTTCTGTGCAGCCCAACAAATATAATCAATACCTACTCTTAAAATTGAAATTGAAAAGATTCTGGAGTAAAAACAATTTCAGTGATCCGACAAGACAGAAAACTAAGATTTCACGAAGTCTCACAGTTCGACCTATTGGTTTAGTCAGTGTCACTTTTCGGAAGAAAGGGCTAACAAGGACGCATCCAGCGTGAGCGCTCTATCAAACTGTAAGCAATAACAGCTCCCACTGTTAGCAGCCTTATTGCTCCACAAAATCGCGCAAAAAAGCATAATTGCACAAACTCTGCTGGAGCAGCAACTTATTAAAATAAAACCCAGGCTGGAACGTATCAGGCTCTCCGGTTCGATCATGCGTTTTTGCACTAAACTCGCAGATCACTATTAGCAGGATTGATCCCTACGCAGCAGCCTAACACTTGGGCAAATATTGGCCGTGCTCTGATCCTTTCTGGCATGCAGGAGGAAGGGCATCAATTGGGATGAAGGTGCTGCATTATAGAGCCGCACGGACATCCAGGTGCATGATTACTAGTTTTTTGCATGAAGTCCGGTCGTTTTTTCGGTAAATGACAGAGGCAAATTTTTTGAAAAAATGCAAATTTCCAGTTCACTAAAAGGTGGAATTATTGCTCGAGCGATGGTTTGTCAAAAAATCAGCTTTCATTTACAAACACGATTGCGGGCCGAGCTGCGAACGATTTTTTTTGAAAATATGCGAATCTTCTGTTCATTAAAAATTAAAAGTATTGCTCGAACGGTCGTTTTTTAAAAAATCCACGTTCATTTGCATATGCAATTGCGGTTCGGATCCGAGTTGCTAACGATTTTTGGATTGAAGAGTTGGTTGAGGCTATGGTTGGGGAGCTGGAGAGCTGAGTTTAAAATTTTTATCTCGCACGTGCATAGAGAATATCCCTGCGAACTTTCAGCTTTCTTGTTGCCTGGTTC